GCCTCCGCCACGAGGGCCGGCTGCCCTTACCAGTAGAGCCCAAAGAACTGGGTGACGCATCCGCCCTCCACGGCACAGGGGAGATGGAAGCTGCGGTCGCAGCCCGTCTCCTGGCAGGTGATGGTGGCCCCGCTCTCGCCACAGACAAAGCAGTGCTGGAAAGAGCAGAGCAGCCCCCTTCAGCAGCAGCCCTGGAGCCTCTGTGGAGCCGCTGGGAGCAAGACTTCTGTCTCCAGAGCTGGTTGGAAGGGCTGGGCTTTCTTTCTTGGCGTCTGGGCTAAGGTCCCGCAAACCTCTCCTGCCACAAATCTCCCTGTTCTTGGCGGGTCCTCACCTTCTGTGCTGCCCGCAGGATCGTGCGTCGAATATCCTCAGGGAGAAATCCCAGGAGTCCTACTCCCTCGCGGCCCTTCTGAAAAAGCTCGTTGGCAAAATACTGCAGAAGAGAAAAGACGAGGAGCTGATGAGTGCGTCGAATATCCTCAGGGAGAAATCCCAGGAGTCCTACTCCCTCGCGGCCTTTCTGAAAAAGCTCGTTGGCAAAATACTGCAGAAGAGAAAAGACGAGGAGCTGATGAGGAGTGTGTGGCAGGGACAGCCTGTTGGAAAGCTGGAGGGAGCTCCGGCGGAACTCACCAGGCAAAACACATGGGCGCAGAGCCCTCGCTTCTGCAGTTTATGCCCGCAGATATCCGGGTCAGCCTGTGCCCGGCGACACAGCATGCATGCTGGAGGGGAGAGAGCAAATGGCACCGGGAATGAGCACCTCCGCGGGGCCGGGGGAAGCGTCCCTGAGGGCTGTTCCCCACGGGCCTGCTCTGTCCCTGCCTAGCTGGCTGATGGGCAGGGCTGGAGGGCTTGGAGAGGAAGGGGGCATTGCAGGCCCGGGTGTCCCAGCAGGTGCCCGCTGCCCGGCCTGGGCCCCGCTTGCTGAGGAAAGGAGGGGCCCTGCCCCGGGGCGGTTGGGGAGCTCCTGCCTCCCCCTGCCACCGCTCTCGGCCCCACGCTGACCGCCCCGACAACCCCTGCGCCACGCTGTGGGAGGGAGACTTTGCTCTCACCCTTCTCCATCGAGTTGGAGGCCTCAGGCTTCCTTGCAGCCATGGCGCACGTCAACGGTGAGTG